TGTACTTAGGTGTAATTAATCTTTCGAATTCGGTTCATTATCTTTCGAAAATTCTGATAGCTAAACTCTGAAAGAATATTTTAATGCTAGTGAAAATATTTTTTAAATCAATTATGAATTTTGATGGAGTAATTTTGCTTATTAAAACATCTTTTTATTTGCTTTTTTTATATGATTCCTTTATTAGGATATTTGTTAAAGATGCACTAAAGCTTTTTCGAAACTTAATAAAGAAGAAATAATCTGTTTAATAGGTTTTAGAGCTTTCTTGTAGTATGGGAGCTGGGGAATAGTTCTAGCAGGAGCACGTAATAACACAGTGTTTCTTAAAATTTTTTATCAGAGTTTTCCCAAACATGATTCTTACGTAAACATAGTAAATCCCCGCCGAAGCCGGTTAGGAGGGATTGCATGCACGTGCGCCGTCGTAACTATTTAAAGAGAAAAAATATTATTTATGGATTTTTAGGGCGGTCAAACACAGGTCCCTATTCTCCAGGGAGCAAAAAACATTTCTGCAGAATATTTTCTCCATTTTGCTTGCTCCTGAAAAAAAAAAAAAAAAAAAAAAAGAATCCATGAAACCATCTACTAAGCTTGATGTTTTTGCTTAATTTTAAATTTTACGTTGGCTTCTTCTCTTTCAACGAGTGATGCTCTCCAAGTATTGAGATTAGGAGTTCAGAATCGGTCATATAATTTCCATAAATGTTACAAACAGTTTATAAATGGATGTTTACATTAAAGATATTATGAATAATTCTTAAATTTTTCCGTTTCCCTAATAATTATTCTCTGAAAATACTTCCTGATATCTTTCTAATTATATTTTTATTAACTTAACTAATTCCATTGCTATTTTGAAGGATATTTTTCTGTCGTCGGTTAATGTTATGATTCGGTTAATATTATCAATTAATATAACCTTCTGCGCATATTTTTGAAAGCTGAAGGCAAATTAGTCAATTTTTTAGATGTGCATTTATTTATTTCTCGGCAAGCTTATCTAGAGGTAGAGACAACTTCCTTTCCGTATATAAATAATAATTCTTCTAAACTGAAAAAATATTAAATAGATTGTAGACAACGGGCTTCTTAATATATATCAATTATGTGCTAATCTTATATTATATTCCTGCTCAAAAAATAAGCAACAAAAGTAAAATACGGAATAAAACAAAAATTACTTAATGTATATGCTTGAAATTCATACAAGTGGTTGGTGCGGCATTGCTAGACCACATAACAAACAATCAAACAATGACAACCAAAAACATGTATTATGAGCATCACTTTGCAAAAGACCAATTGGTTCTGAAGAATGTAAATTATACCCTCTGATTGAAACGCATGCTTCACAACGGCAAGGCAAACTGCAATACTGCAATAATGTCGTTGAATGCTTGTTGTGGCAGTAGCTCCCATTCCTGTAGTAATGCATGTCGAAGCTCGTGGAAGGCTCCTGACGACGTGCTGTTCGTCATCCCAACATGTTCCACACATGATCTATGGCAGAGGTCTCAAACGGTGGTACGCAAAGTATTTTTAACTATTAAATTCAAAATTTAAAACCCCAATATCCTGACTGAGTTTTTTCTCTATCACTCGTAAATGTGTGCAATCTGAGCTTTGTTCAAGAGTGGTGGTAGTAGTAGCACTTTGTAGTGATAGTACTAAAGATTTTCAATCTTTGTTTAGATGGTACGCGTTAGTCAAAAGATTGAAAATCGCTGCTCTATGAGATTCAAGTCCGGGATCTAGCAGGCCATGGCAAATGTGGAATAGCTTCATTCTCCGTATAACTCCGCACCACTTGAGCTCTATGAAGACGGACATTATCGTTCCTTAAATATCGCTTCGGTAACCTTTGCAGCGATAAAAGAACACACAAGAGGATATAGAATATCGTCGCGATATCGGAGGGCTGTGACAGAACCACCAGGAATCACGTAAAGGTCGTTGTGGCCTTTTTTTTTTTTTTTTTTTTTTTTTTTTTTTTTTTTTTTTTTTGCTATCCTAACCCATACAAGTAAGCTTCCTCGTCTATAATGGTCACTTTCGAAGACGTTTGGTGTCCAATATCAGGTCCCTGGCTCTCGCCATATGATTGTTCTTCGAGATTCATTCTGGATGTTAAATAGAGACTCATCCGTAAAGAGTATGTGGCTTCACTACTCTGGTGTCGAACTGCGATGTCCACGCGCCGAATTCAATACGCTCTGACATGCAATGGGGACAAAGGAACACAAACCACAGGTCGTTGGGCGTATAGTTCACCTTCATGCAAGCGACGCAACACAGTTTGACATGATATAGGTAGTACTGCAGCAACAGAGAAATGCGATGCCATCTGTTGCGCTACTAGTTCTACGGCATTTTGGCACATAGCAACAAGAAGCAAACGTCTGCTGTTGTGGCAATCCTCGGGCGTCCAGACTCACGCCATCTAAAGGGGTTTTGATCCCGTTGGTAATGATTCCACAGCCTGCTGATGACACTACGATACACACTCAGCTTTCTTGCAACAGCGGATTGTCTTGCACCAACTTGCAGCATCCCGACAGCCCTCCAACCAATTTCATCGAGCAAACGATTTCTTCGGCTCATGCTTTCCGGTTTGCCTATCGGATTACGCAGAACTATCGCTGCTTGCTAAGTGATGCATAGGTCCTGCATGTTTCTATTTAAGGCCTTGTGGTGAGATTGCTTTTTATGCTAATTTTGGTTGCCTATTTGCATTTGGCAAACTAATCTCAAACTCATACGTAAATTGTACCTTTTAATTCCCTCTTTTTATATTCGTACCTTTTCTTTTAGAGTTTGATCCTTATTCTTTTAGCTCGAGTGTTGTACGAAAAACGAAAAACCTACGAAGAACTTTCTTTTCTGCTTTGGAATGATATGCTACATCAATGGTTTAGAAGAGGTGGCTCCATAACTACATTTGTGCTGTCCACGGGAGGAGACGATTACATTTCAATTATGTGCTTGTTGCAACGATTTCAAGGTTTTAATTACTTTAAATCCGAGTTGTGATTATTCTCATTATCATTAACGGCGAACATGAATAACGCACCAGAAACTTTATAAATTGAACTAATTAACCATACAAAGATTTGATTAATATTTTAAATACTTATCAAAAATATAAGTACGCTCATTTGCGAAGTATCGCACTAAGAATATTCGCTTTGTTTGGGAATATATTTAAATGTGAACAGCATTTTTTCCCACAATAAAAAAATAAGAAATAAGCCTGATTGGGGTCGAGCACTTGCAATGCGTGCTGAAGGCAATTTCTAGTAATTTTTGGTTATGCTATATACGTTTTCAGAATCGAAATGTCTCAAATGTCAAGTTGTAGTAAGATATAAAGAAGTTAGCAATTATTTGTTTACAAATATATGTACTTTTATTTATCTGCCGAAGGACAATTTTTCTCTGAAAACTTAGAAAGATTTCTTAATTCTTTTATCTTTAGTTTAAATTAAAGTAAATGCTTTAATTATTAATTAAATATGTTTGAATTTTTTAAGATAATGTCAGTCTAGGAATTTAAATTTATAGATTTGAATTATGAAGAAACACCAAAAATGTCTGACAGGTAACAAACTTTACTTTATCTTTCAGTTAGAAAATAAATATAAATATACTTTTTCCTTTATTAGTATTATTCTTTATGTATCTTTCCATAAATATTTAGCAACCGAATTTAAAATTTACATTTACTTAAAATATTACTTTTATATGCACGATCAAATTTACTTACTTCAAAGTGCTGAGGTTTCAGTATCAGCCATAAATGTTCATGGCCATTCAAAGAAGTTAAATACTGCTTTATTGAGCATTTAATAACAGTTTTTCTTCACACTCTACATTGAAAAAATATAGTGCATTTCTCCCTTCATTCCCCCCTCCCCTGTTTTTTACTAATTTTATCGTCCGAAAATCGAGAGGAGAAAATTATGGAATCATTCATTTTCCAAAGGATGTATTTACAGTAAAACTACAACAGTCATATTTGAGTCATAAATAAATTACAGGTAACTATGCTATTTCTTTAAAAGAAATTCATTCTACAATGCAATAAGAGCACATAGTAACATTAACTTTACAATAAGAGCACATAGTAACATTAATTTTACAATATCTAAGAAGATATCGTCATTTCTACTTTTTCGTAAAGAATCTTGCCTATTTTTATTGTTGACCCTGCTACTCCTTAGGCTTCAAATCATACATAAAGATTAAAGAAAGTGAATGTGCAACTGACTCAGCGAAGTCATAGAATGAATGTCTCCTCGTCTGCTTCGCCGTGAAGGGTCGATCTTTGTGTTAGGCTGGTCATTTTTGCTTAGTCTTTCAAAAGTTAGAAGCGAAAGGTTCAGGGTAGCCTTCGCAGGTAGTTTGCGTAGTTTGTCGTTCTTAAGTAAGACTAAAGCAATAACAACATGGGCAGATCCATTTTAAAATTTAGAGAAATTCCTTCTCTGTAAGCAATTAGAAAGTGAAAAATTACACGAATCTTTTTAAAATTTACAGAACCTGCCGCTTTACGCTACGGGGAAAATACGTGAGGAAATACGGTACATTTAAATAGCGACGCACGCGTTAGTATGCAGGAAACAAATTGTGACCTACATAGCAAAGCTAACAAAAAGCAATTAAATGTACTTACACTGTCCATTATAAGCAAAACTTTCTTTGCTTAGCTATAGTATCGAATGATATTCTCCGGTTTGTTTTATCACTTCGCAGTTTCTGTCATTTTTATGAAGCTCATTAGGAGAATAAAAATTAAGATAAATATGTTGTTTGCAGAAATCGCGGAATGAAACATTAGGTAATAAAATTTACAACAGAAGTAACATAACATAAAATACTGCGTTGAACAACATCAATAAAAAGTTTCCTTTAAATTCTATGGCTTCGAATCTCATGTAAATCTCCACATTTAATTTCATACGAAAGCACGCTCATTAATATCCTTTCTTTTTCAGGTCTGAGAATCCGAATTTTCAATCTGGTAATCAAACTTGTAGCGTGCCTCCTATATGTCATTAGAGTCGGTCTGGATAGAGGACCATCTTACGCAGTATGGTAAGTTACGACTTGATATATATATGGAATTGAGATCAATCAAATATACAAAATTTAACATATTTCATTATACACAATATAATGCCACGCGTAAGTTCAGTAATTTCTATATATTTGAAATACATTGAATTGAATATTACAGTACATTCAATGAAGTATTAAATAATATTAAATATATTTAATATTTTCAATGTAATGGGAATCAGTCAATCAAATATATAGAATTCAATATATTCAGTATCATTCCACGCGGAATTATTCAATATATTCAACATATTGCTTAATTATAATCAATAGCATATTGATTAATATATTCTTGAATATATTATTCAATGTAATATTGAATATACTGAAATATATTAAATATACGGAATTGAATATTACAATACATTCAGTATTATTGAATTATTATTCAATATTCTTCAATATTCTGCGGAGGATGTTACTGATTCTTCATGTTTATAGGCTGTAAAATACGAAAACGTGATAAAGTTGCCCGTACCACAAATGGGATGTAAGATAATTCACCATCCCCAGAAACTTGCGACTTGATCCCCGCTTTTCCAGTCGCCCTTGATAGATTTTTACAAAATTTCAAATTGTATAAATAATGTATGTACTTTTATACGAAAATTAATATATACATATAATATTAATATAATTGTAACATAAAAATTATAATATTGTAATTTATAATAATCTTAATATGTACAATGATATAATATGCATAGATACATTTGTGATATAAACAGTATCACAAAATGAGAACATAATTTTCTGCTTAATGCGTATTCCAAAGTAAAATTTTCTAACACCTGTGAGTTGCAAATAACTTAAATAAGCCAATGCAGTAACAATAACATGTTACTTAACGTTCTATGAGATGAATTGTCACATCCAGAATATATTTAAATTCAAAACAATTAAAAAGACTTCAAGTTTATTCTACCTTATCTCTTGTGAAAAACTAAATTAAAGTATACAAAGCTGAAAAACTAAATTAAAGTTGACAAAGCTGAAAAACTAAATTAAAGTACATAAATTTTCCCGCCAAACTCGACCTTGTGTAAAACTTAAGCTTCCTTCGACAGTAAGTAAAAATTCAAAAGTCAAATCCGATCTGGACAGATACCACAAGCTTTACCTAGACCGCGACAAAAGACATGCTTACCAAAATAGGATTTAACCTTAATCTACAGTATTCACAGCAATTTAATTGGCAAGGCAGCGGATCACAAGTCAAGCTCTTACACTCCTACAAGTAAATTTCTAAACTTCGTTGTAAAACTGCTTGTCAGTCAAGCTCTTACACTCCTACAAGTAAATTTCTAAACTTCGTTGTAAAACTGCTTGTTGCATTTCATTAGTAAAACTTAGACATAAATACCACAAACTAAGAATTTAAATGTAAATTTATTTGAGAAATTAAGACATTTTTCTCGTTCGCAGTGAACAGGGTAGCACGTTGTTCACTGCGGACGAGAATTTCCTCCATCCTTGTCTCATGTCTTCGTGGATTAACTGAAAGACATACCTGTCTAACAGCAGAAGGTTCGAAATTCGAGTCCCAGTGAGAGGACAGCAGATTATGTGAAATTTTATGTCTCCAAACCAATTCTAACTCTTTCTACAGTGAGACCTTCTCTCTCAGTCGCCTTTTAAATAGGGAAGAATGTAAGGTTTTTTTCTCAATCATAAAATACATGCTTTCATGGAGTAACTGGAAGGCACGTACGGGCTAACAATTAGAAAGTCCGGAATTCGAATTACAGGTAGGGCATTGCATGTTTTCCACTTCTGCTCGAAAATAAAATGCTAATAATCTCTCTAACCTTAATATTTTAAACGGTCCTGTGTCCGATTCCGGAGACGGCACTGTTTCATTTTCATTTCATTTTCTTTCTTCTCTCTTCTTTTTTAGTCTGGACATGCAGGTACAAGTTCCTTTTCATCAGGAGTAAAGAAATGTGCAAATTTCTTTACTCCTGGTGGAGAGAGACCTGTACATGTTAGCCTTCGAAATCTATAGGGTCCTTACTAGCGTCTATGCCAAACACAAATCTGTTGCTTGCTAATTTTATGAATTACATATTGGTTTAATTTAAAATATAAATTAAGGATTTTAGGCTTCAGAAAAGCCCACCAGCGGCCGAAGGATAAGTCCTTGAACACTGGTAGTGTGATCCGAGGCTCGAATCTCGAGTACAGGCTGGTTGCATAAGCGTTTGTGGTTTTTCCCATGTGGGACGTGTTAATACGAGCCAGTTCCCCTTAGAATGTCTTCCACGAAGGCATCCCTCCCTCCCGTGTAGTGCCTTAGGGCATAACACATAACTAGTAATATGCTTTGGGAATGGCAGCACTCTGAGAACTATTCGAAGAACATTTTTAACATAACAAAACATTAATGATTTTAATGTCGATGTTACGGTGAAACACCGAAATCTGGAGAATGTCGAATTTCACCGGTGAATGTCAACATAGTCTCTTGGTGTATGTCCGAAATATTTTCCAAATACTCTTATTTCTGACTTACACCGGTCAATGTGGACATTCACCATGTACTAATGGTGAATGTTGAACATATAATAATATTATATTTTCTTCTCCGTAATTCAGTCGCGAATAAACGCACTTGAGACTTGAAATAAGAACTTGAGAACATGAGAACCTAAAACACACAATACATTCAAAATGAGAAAGGAAAATAATAGAAGTTAAAAACTGACTTAATTATATAGTACGTTCTAAATGAGAAAATAAAATAACAGTCATAAAAAACTTACTGAATTATGTGATTCAAAGCTTATTTATTGCAACAACTTAAATGGCACTTTATAACTTCTCTTTTCGACTTTCACCGGAAGCTTATCTTTGATTGTCGACATACACCGGTGAGGGTCCGAATATACAAGAATGTAGTGCAATATTCGATCTTTCACCAACGTATTTGGTGAATGTTTATATTCTCCGGTGAAAGTCGACATTCTCCAATTTTGGTCTTTCACGGTAACATCGACACAAATTTTTCCTAGCTCTTAATTTAGCTGTGATATGCATTGCATGGTAAAACCGGAAATGAGAATTTTGTGTCCCCCATTTTTTATAAGCTTCTATTTAATTCACTCATAGTGGAATATCTTAGCCTTGACAATTTCAGAACCATTTACAACCATCTTGCTGGAAGTTTTCATTCTCGTATGAGAAATAGTATTATCACTGAATTGCGAATTTACAGTTAACATTATAATGATGTGCAAAACATAAGACAGCTTATGGCTATTCTCAGTCCTAGAATTATTATGGAAGATTAATGTATTATTACTTTGCTTTCTTTTTCTGCTTGGTTTGTATCTTTATGTATTTTTATACGTAATTTTTATTCTACCTTTTCACATTGTTGACTATATCTGCTCCACGGCTTTCTGATGCTTCTCCCCATTTATCCATTTTCTAGTGCAAATTTTATTACTTTTTAAATTATTAGAAGGAAGAAAGAAAGAAATATTAGTATAAATCTCTATGTATGTATATAATTGTATTCTTATCAGTCTTAAGATAGTTGGGATACAATTTTGAAGCTTTGCATTTTTCGAATCGAAGTAGGGTTCGGCCATGACTTAAACACCATTCCACAAGATTATATCTTATTACAGAATACATATATCGTATTTTCCGGCGTATAGCGCGCACGGGTGTATAATTTCGAGCTGTAATGTTTTTAATTTTTAGGTATATTCGCCGTATAACTCAAATCCAATTCTTTAAGAAGAAACCTAAAAGATATATGTGCAATGCTCTTATCTTTTTAGGTTACTTGTTCAGAGATTTCTCCTAGCCTTTCGAATATGGTAATACCGAAATGAAAAGCGATGAGAAGAACAATATATGTGTGAGTTAAATGCTTTAAAGGACTAATATACCTGCAAAGAAGGTGCATTCTATTCAGTACAAGTGTGCAAAAGAATGCTTTTGTATGATTTCGAGAAAAGGGGGATATAATTTGGAGTAAAAGTGCACTTCTAACCGAAAGAATTCGTGGAATTATGATTCAGATGTTTTCTCTATCTGTGGTCAGTTGAAGCCGGGATTTTGAAGTGGACATCGAAGGTTTTTGTTCGATGATGTGCCTGAAGATAAAACGGAAGGCAAACATGACGAACTTTTCATGTTATCCGGTAATGAAAAGTTTTTAAGTTCAAAAGGTATGTCATTTCTTTTAAATAAACAGCATAAATACAGTGTCCGCCGATAACATCGCGGCAAAAACATCGCGGACGAAAACGTCGCGGAGAAAACAACGCAAGGTGAAAACGTCGTGCTACAAAACATCGTGGGAGAAAACATCGCGGTACAAAATATCGTCGTCGAAAATAAAGCGGTTCAAAAACTTCGCAGTTTAAATACATCGTCGTCGAAAATATCGTGGTAAAAAATAAAGTATCTACAAATCATCGCATGACGATAACATCGCAGACATGCTTTTTCAGGTTTTAATAATTGTAAATGGATATTCCCATAATGATTTGTGAGCGCAAGATGTAAAGAAAGATAATTTTTACTTTCACATTTTTTATTAACTAATAAATTTTTGCTGAAAACGTAAGAAGGAAACTTAAGCATAGAAAATTAAATGCAACTTATAGATTATACTTCTCATGAAAAATTGCCAGTAAAAACTTTATACAAAAATTATTTATTAATGGCCTTTGTTAGTTAACTATGTCGGCTTAAAATTCTATTAAGTGGTATAAGTTGCATTAATTTTCTGTGCTTAAGTTTCCTTTTTATTTTCTCATCAAAAATTTATTGATTAATAAAAAATATGAAAGTAAAAATTATCCTTCTTTCCATCTTGCCCACACAAATCATTACGGGAATATCCATTTACAGTTATCAAAGCCTGAAAAAAACGTGTCTACGAAGTTATCGTCATGCGATGATTTGTAGACACTTTATTTTTTACCGCGATATTTTCGACGACGATGTTTTTAAACTAC